CGCTTTCGTCTCCACTTTCTACCCCCACCCCGTCACCTCCTTCGCCCCCTCCTCTGGGCTTCTGACTTTTTCTGTAGCCTTTCCACTGCTACTCCTTGGTTCCTTCTTACTGTTGTCTTTCAGCCACACCCCTGATCTTCTGGTGTAGGAAAGATCTACATCTAGCCTTCTCGGACAAGGGCAAAAAATATCAGAGATCCCGTGCAAGTTGCGCTCGTTAAAGATCCCTTGGTGGTCTAAAATCGATAAGAAGAGTAGACTTCGGCCGCCACTCGTGGAAAATTCAAAATTTCCTTCCAACTGAAAATATTTAGTGTGTCCCGCGCGCTCATATGACCTTATGCAGTTGCGAGCGCTGTAAAACACATACGAAAAAAATTTATTTATATTATCGAGTTTCAGAGTGTCAGCTTGGGGCCTCAAGTAGCCGAAGCTCTATGACGTCAGATTCAAGTGTGCACCATCAAGGCACCTGGAAAAAGTAACGTTCGATCCCTTTTTCTTAAAATACCAGGTGAGTTAAAATGGAGTCACGACGACCCAGATGTGCCCAATTGAGAGGGGGTACCTCATGCGCTCTTGGTCAAGTAAATTCTGAATGAATGAAGTTAGACTGGATTGTCCAGTGGTTTCCATCAAGTCATCTGAAAGAAGCGTTAGCGACTTCGGTTCGAGATTAGCAATGGAATGTTTTGTAAAGCTCTTTTTTAAAGAGAGAGAGCGAGAGAGAGAGAGAGAGAGAGAGAGAGAGAGAGAGAGAGAGAGAGAGAGAGAGAGAGAGAGAGAGAGAGAGAGAGAGAGAGAGTGTTGTGAGGGCTTTCCTTTTTCATCTTAAGTTTCTCTCTTTTGTTGTTTTTTTCTTTTATTTTTATAGATAGCCCTTTGTCTCGTGTCATACCCCCCCCCCCCCCCCCCCAACACACACCGTATTACAAATAATATTAGAGACAGGTTATTTTACGTAGATCTAATTGATCCGCGTCTCGTTGACAACCTGCACTGTGTTGCTAACGACACAAAATTCTAACTCAAATTTTATTAGACCAATTAAAGTGGATGAAACAAGACATGGCTAGATCCAGGGAATACCAGATACCAAGAAGTACGAATATTTCATTATTTTCACGCCAACTAGCCTCGAGCAAATGAATTTTTATTTATCTAATATTTCGTCACATTATGGAGAAGACTTTGTTTTAATACTACACTTGATACATGTACTATTGTATAAACATCCACCCGGCTATCTTAATTTTTTTTGGTCTTTGTTATTTTGTTGAACGCTTTGAATTTTTCCAGAAAGCAAAATTATACTTATTACTCCATCTTGCTTTATTAATGATAAATAATAATGTATAACATTTATATAGCGCATTTCCAAAAAAGTAGCTCAATGCGCTTTACATTAATTGAATACCCATTTTTCAAAAACCTTTCTTACTGCTTCCTTTCTTCTCATGCAATATACATTAATGCACACACACGCACACACACACACACACACACACACACACACACACACACACACACACACACTCACACTCTCGACTTAACACTTCGTTTGTAGTGCAGCCGTCGAGAGAATTATTGTTTAATATATAGCCTACTTGATTATTAATTCACTCAGTAGATAAATATGTGTGTATCCACTAGGCTCTTCGCTGGCGCACGCAGAACACGCAAGTTCGATTTCTGCGTGTGTGTTGGAGGAAAAGTGGAGAGAAGGTCTGTCCGTCTACAATTGCAAGGACGTTGTTGTATCTCTGTCAGCTCGGGTTGTCTCTGACCAGTACAGTCGATGCGGGTCGCCTCCCAAATTACCTTAGTTGTGTCAATAGGGTGGTAAAACATTTTACAATCACACTTTATATAAAGCTTAGGTTGTGACAACACATAGACTAAGCACAAAATGTTTAGTGCTCAATTAACCTTCTAATTCTAAGGCGAGCGTAAGAACGTATGCCCCCTCAGCTAGATACTCAGATAATATAAAAGTGTATGCCTTCACAGCCTCTTTGGATTCATGTTGCACTCTGTGTGATACCTCATTCCGCCAAGGTTTTTTTTAGGTTGAGTGACGTGTGGTGAGATTTCTTGCATAGATCTGGATAAAAGGCGGATGGTTGAAGGGCGCCACTGGTGGGTCCTCTCGTACATTTCAACCCCTCCCCCTCCCTCCTTTCAGTTCCTGTCAGTTTGTCATAAGCTTTCCCTGCACAATGATGATCAGCATCGTATTGACATGCTTCTTTTAATTAAAACCCACAAATTAATGAACAGACAAACAAACAAAAAGACAATTTTAAACTTCAGGTTGTACTGGAAAAATAGAAAATCATCAGTTGTGACATTTACAGAATTCAGACCAGAAAAGCTATAAAACGGAGGAGTCGGGGAAGAGGGGTGGTTGTAAAGTTGAAGCTCGGGTGGTGTGTTCAAGGCCAGCCAGCTCGTCACAGCTGAGACCAGGAAGGGGTGTCTAGACGTTTTAGTACGTATAGGAGTGTCCCAGAGTTTGGTAAGCTTGTCAGCATTGGCCACTCAAGGGATCTTGACCGTTTGACATCAGACTGAAGAGCACGTCACGCCTGATAACGCCGGGAAAGGATTGTACACGCACGTACACACACACACACACACACACACACACACACACACACACACACACACACACACACACACACACACTCACACACTCACACAAACACACACACAAGATATCATATATTATACAAAGTAATATATAAGCACATACACGCACATGCACTCTGGCCCATAGCTCTTGCCCTTTGCACCCCCCCCCCCTTTTTTTTTTTTCATAGATAGATAGATAGATAGATAGATAGATAGATAGAGAGAGAGAGAGAGAGAGAGAGAGAGAGAGAGAGAGAGAGAGAGAGAGAGAGAGAGAGAGAGAGAGAGAGAGAGGGAGAGAGAAGGGGGGGGGGTGGCGGGAGAAAGAGAGAGATAGAGAATTATACAGACAGACAGACAGAGAAGGGGGAAATAGATAGATAGATAAATAGATAGATAGATAGATAGATAGATAGATAGATAGATAGATAGAGAGAGAGAGAGAGAGAGAGAGAGAGAGAGAGAGAGAGAGAGAGAGAGAGAGAGAGAGAGAGAACTGATGTTTATCTGCCTTTCTAACACTCCTCATGAAGGGGTGTAATTGTATTAGTCGTTGCTATGACGTGAACCCTCTATAACAGCAGTTTTAGTTTTAGTAAGAGATTTACGGCACTCGCAACACAATAAGGTCATATAAGTGCCGAAGAATAGATGTGTAACAGGAGAGTAACATACACAAAAAGAAGGAGGGGAGATAATGACGACAGATGTTTGATAGGAAAGAAGGAGCAAACCACACCAGAGCACCCGCCAACCACCCACTTTTAATAGCGGATTCAAAGATCCGCCGAAGAGAGAAAGGAAAGGTTAGATAGATATAAATGGAAACGATCAAGAATGCCCTTTGCCAAACTGTCCGTGAACTCGTCCGAAGTAATGAACATACCCGCTCCATAAACCGTGAAAAAACCCCACAACCCTCCTACCTTACCCCCGACCCTACCCTTTCGATCGAGATCGCACCAGGATATCTGCATGGTTGCCTGGTTCTATTCAAACAAGAGATTACTCTAGTCACTGATGGTCCGATGGTGTGTCGTCAGTCGCAACTGGTGTAGGTCATGCTACGGTCAAAGGGTTTGAAAATGATAAAAAATAAGAGCCCGCCTGACTTTTTTTTTCGTTATAAATCTCTTTTATAGTTTTTCCACAGTTGTGAAATCGTCAGACCGTTTCGTTAGTCAGGGAGAAAATGGAACGATCTAAATTTTTTTTTTAATTAACAAGAATTTGAGGAAGAGGAAGCTGTTAGGTACCAACATGTTTTGAATTTAGAAGAGATATAAAATTTTGCCTTTGTACAAATGCTTGAATTAACATGAAATACAAGCTTATTTCAGTATATTTGTGGTGTCGGATTGAGGGAACAAGAACAGAGCAAAATCAAACAGCAAAACGGGCTGCGAAGAGAGTTATATAGAGATAAACGCAACATCCCTTTCGCGAGCAATTTGAAGGAAACAGTTGTCTTATAACTATTTCTTGCAGTTGTTGCTGCTGTTGTTATTGTTGTTGTTTGCTGCGGCTGTTTTTGTTATTGTTACTGTTACTTGTGCCCTCTTTATATAATTGCCATAATATTAAATGTCACATAATCTGTCATATCAATTATATTTAAATAACCATTAAAAATATTTTTGTTGGGTATGCTTGTCCAATTCCATCATCTTTTTTTAAAACTGGAGAGGGGTGAGGTTTGGGGGAAAAGGGTGGGTGGGGGGGGGATCCAGACTTGTTTTTTTGTCAGAAAACACAAGTCTTTTGCAAAATCAGCTATTCGTGCGAGACCGTCTCGGTTCTCGTGAGACATAATATAGGTCGACACGCAACAAGACTTATATAGGCCTTCCAGTAAAAACAACACTATTTTGAGACAGCGCCTCCGACGGAGAGTCTAATCATAACACGTTTTCAAAAGAAAGAAACTCCGTTAAGGCTTTCCCTAGATTTGCCCCAGATAAGGATAGGAAGCCCAAAAGGTGTTTGATCCTGTCGCTGAAATAACATACATAAGTTAACCCAAACAGACCCCCGAGAGGGAAACCCCCAACAGTGTTTGTTATGGCAACGACACTCGAGGTTCAACCTCTGGTTCAACAGACAATGGGGCTTCTCAAAAGGGGACAAACCGTGATAATACCTAGAAAAAACCGCTGACAGATGTTGCCTCCCTTTGGTCAACTTTTGCAATTCGCATACACAGAAAATACTCAATGAGCCTAAAGTTTTTAAAAAGTGTCGAAAGCAGAATAGAACATAGCGCATCACAGGCTAGAGTTAGGCAGTAAACCCAGGTCGCTGTATAAAATGAATAGTTTCGGCGCTGTCCACAACCCAGTCTATATTTTTATAGTACAAAATGGCGACCTCCTTGGTTTTACTTTCGTATTCTATCCAGTGAAGTCCTGTCAAGGTTCTTTCTTACGAAATTGCTTCCTTTTACCTTCCCTTGACACAAGCTGCGGATTGTCATTTTGCTGCTTATTTTGCATTCGATCTTACAAGTCTCCTGTACCCTGCCATAGGTACTTCAGTGTAAGCTTGATTATGATACTAGATCTAGATCTATACTTCTATTTGCAGCTGTTGAAGAAGAACCGAGACCCTGCGGTATATCATATAGATCTAGATCTAGATCTATCCATTTTCCTTTGTGTGGATACTGCGAACTCTTGTTTCTTATTTAGGACGTAGACAGCCACCCGGGCCCACCACTTGTTGAGGAGGTGAAGAGGCTAGCCGTCTTGGCAGTAGGCCTACTCAGCCTACTGATTAAAATGAAAAATTTACCTTTCCCTTCTACTTCTGAGTCTGAGGTTCCAACCAGAGGTGGTTGCAGGTTTTAGACTAGATATCTAGATCTACCATAGAAGGGCCATGTAAAATGTTTATTTTATCGAAGTGACTATTTCTCCGAACTTTCGGGAAAATAAAGTTGAACTCTATTTCTCCGAACGGTTTCCAATCTCGAGATTTTTTGGGTTCTTTGCGAGATTTAGGCGTCATCCTTTCATTTTGCCATTCTGCGAGGACTGGGAAGAAGCATTTTTTTGCATCAAATTCAATTTCTAGAGATATTTCAGTCACTCACATACATACAATCAAATGATTCCTTCACCGATTGCTTTGCATCATTGTGATTGGACAAAAGCAAAGAAGGGGACTGTGGTTTAGGAATAAGGTTCAGACCAATCAGATTGTTTCTAATTCGTTTTTGGTGGGAGTTATGAAAATTGAGTTACATGGCAGCAGCGGTAGGCAGTTGTACTCTACTCAGTGAACAATGACTCTTCTGTTGTAAGTACTTATCTCACTTTTATATGATTTGTGAATGGTGAGAGTTGTGGGAGCGACAAGGAGCTAATGGGTTATGACAGTTGGCACTCTTCCCCCACCAGCAGCTGAAAATTTCTTGCCAACTGGTCAACTTGGGTAAAGAGTGGGAAGGACTTGCAGAACATACTGGCCAGCAATTGATTCATTCATAAGACTTAATAAGACAGGCAAACTATAACAAGTGAATGGATTACGGCATCTTGTCCACAGCATCAAGGGCTGATAAATACAGTAGTCTCCGCCTAAACGCACGCCATACAAAAGCACGCTCCGCTCAAACGCACGCTTTCGTCATCTGACGTTTTTTTTAACTACATAATTTAGACGTACAAACGCATGGTCACTCCCTTTAAACGCACGCACCGATCCGCAAAACACGCCGACAAGTGTGAGAATACCCCTCACACTGTACAAAGAGAGTAATGGTCGGGGGTGGTCGCTTGGAAAGCCACGTGGCTGGTCCGTCGTCTCTATGACTATGACCAACAGTTTCCTCTTAGGCTATCTGTTCCCGACGTTTACAGTGCATATACAGTGGAAACCATATATAACAGGCCCGGTAATAACAGGGATGTTTAAAATCCCCGTTTTTTCCTACTCTTTGTCTCTATTAAAAGTTATCGGCAATAACAGGGCCTCATCGCAGTCCAATCGGTTATAGCAGGGACAAAGGCTCATTAACAATGTGTAAAAAGTAAGAGAGAGAGAGAGAGGGAGAGAGAGAGGACAATCGGTCGGCCTCGATCTAAGCCTACTTCTTTCATTATGGTCACCAACGATGTCAAGCGCAAGAGAAAATGCCTTTCAATTGACAAAAAATACGAAATAATCCAGACTGTTGACAAAAAGCAAGCTCCACTGACAGAGATTTGTCGTCAGTTCGACATTCCACAAGGGCCGATTCACACCATTATCAAGGATAGAGAGAAGATAGTGGCAGCATACTCCAATGGAAAGTTTGCTCTGGATAGAAAGGAGATGAGACTACCCGATGCTGATGTGGTTTAAGGAGGCAAGGAGAAAGTTAGTGCCAAAACCCTTGTTCGTGGGTATTTGTGGCTGGGGCAACTACCCATGAATAAGTACAGCTAGATTAGTCCACAAATGCTTACTTTCCTAGCAGTTCTGATTTAACAGGGATCGGATATAACAGGACTTTTTCTCTACTCCCACCATCACTGTTATATCAGGTTTCCACTGTATATTAATTTAATTGAGTTTGTCTTTCTCCCCCCCCCCCCCCCCCCCCCTTTCAACGCCTTTGTATTCTTAAGCCCTGTCGTGGAATCCTTCACAAAACAGTCACGTGTCGTCACATTATCTGCCAAAATGGCCCCCTCCTTCCAAGGGAGGTCAGTAGAGTAATAAGGCAATGACATGACTGCGTCCCTTCCTCCCCTTGCAAAGGATCATGTAAACGCACGCTCCGTATAAACACACACTAGGGAGCTCTCCCGAACACTGTGCGTTTAGGCGGAGACTACTGTAACTTATTTTAAATGGCACTACATTGTGTGAGGAGAGATCATTTAAGTGGCTATCTTGGACAGGTACTTTTGGGTTTTGGTTAATAAGTGGTTACCTCCGTGGTGGACAGCTTATTATGGCGGTGAAATGACTGATTTAGTCTCTTACAGCTAAAAAAATATCGCAAATAACTGACTTCACCAAATTATTAACATAAGAAGACAAGTGGGTCAACAGTTGTCTCGCTGCTTCCCGAAGCTTGTAACCGAAAAACACAGGAGATAATTATCGATCGATAAAGCGCACCCAGTAAATACACGAGATTGGGCCACCGGGCTGGCAGTGCATCCTAAATACACGGGAATAGGCTCAAGTGAGATAATGTGCTGGTTGAAGAATTATCTGAACTTAAAAGATTTAACAAAGAGTCAAAGTGAGTTTTTTTTAATGCAGATTAGATTCTATGTGGAATGTAAAATAATCACAAATTTGTACCATTCTTTTGATCTCCAGATGAAATCAAATGCTGTGGTTTTCATATTATAATGATATTTTTATGGCAGCAATAAATGCTACTGGAAATTATTATCAATATTAAATGAATAATGTACTCCCCAGAACCTCTCCTGTGTGCAACATCTGGAAGCCTAGGATTTAGAACAACTATCAACAATGGCTCAACCCCCTGCCCACGACAGAACGAGGAAGCCAGAGGAGGAAGAAGAGGATGATCCGGTCATCACCATGATTGAAAAGACTGGCTGTCTCAAGCTTCATTATGCTGTGCAAGAGTGTATGGCGGAGAAGCAGGACTGGCGACAGTGTCAACAGACGGTCACAGAATTTCGGAAGTGTATGGAAGCAGGATTGAAAAAGAAGTTGAAAGGCTGATTAAGTGACACTTGTGCATTCAAATTTTAAAATTAATGTTTTAATCCACCAGTATGACCTCTTTGCTGCATTTAAAAGGATCAGTGTCGTTTAATCAGAATGAGTGGCTTTAGGTTTAATGTTGTTGTGTTGAAGTTAAAGAGTAGGAATAAATGTTGTGTCAATGACAAAATCACACAAACTAAAAATGCTGCTAAGAGGTATACCCATTCCATGGTTGGGGATGAACTGTAGATGAATCACAACTGAATTGATGATTGGAAGTTTCTTCATGTACAATTCAGAAATGTATTTCAGTTCATGAAAAGACCTGTGCAGGGAATGCTTCAGTCTACTTCAGAACTTCATGTCTTTTGTGATACGAAAATAAATGGTTTTTAAATTTTTAACAAGTTGTTTGCTTTCCTGATTAACAGTTTATTTGTATACATAATAACAGAAAGATAATGAAGTTTATGTCACTGAATACAAAACTGTCACAGTATTCATAATAATCATAATACTATGTACAGTCAAACCTTGTTGCTACCCCCCTCCCCCGGTCCGTTATACTGCCTGTCCCGCTTACCGCCAGGTTTTGCTTGAAAGGGAACGCTTATATGAACATACATGGTATTTGCGCCTTTACTCCACCATCCGCCACCTGTCTGAGAATTGGTCGCCAGAGGTACACACTACACTCGGGGCATGGCATCCTCTCAGTGGCTACTTGATAGTAGGCCTACATTTCCCAAACGTCTCTGCGAGTTCCGCTTAGCATTTGTCTCCGATGCTTCTAATTTTCTGATTATGAGAAAACTTTTATTTGTAGGCTTTGTCTATTTTATATTAGAAAAGGGAATGTAATTCTAAAGTGACCTGGAGAAACTTCAAAGGAACTGCGCTACCGTGGCCGTTTAGCAAAATATATGGCTTCGCCAGATATCAGCCCAATGACTAAAAGTGAAAGGCTGGCAGTGGCAGGCGCCCTTGAGACTTCTATAAGGTGAGGACTCACGCTTAAGTCTACGTTCTCGGTCTTAGGTGTCTTGAGGACAGACGAGTATCGGATTATGGGGTCCTTGACACATATCGCCTAGCTTCTGATCTGGCAAAAAAATTTCAATTTGAATTTATGTGAAGTTCAGATTGAGCAATACATGCAATTGGTGGCTACTCATTTTTCCTCTGCGCATGGCAATCACGCAAGACAGATCTAGATGAAAGAAGACTTGTCACAGTTTGTCTCTATAGTCACTATATATACCAGTCAACCATTAGTCAAAATGGCAATTGGTGCTATCCCATTGTACAACCAGCCCTGCTGTAACGCCAATTTCATGCTTGTTCCAAGTTAGGCAGTGTAACGGGATTTGACTGTACTGTACATATTTTTTTTTTGATTGGGTGAAGATTTTCCCTAAAAGCTTCAGGTATTGAGAATAAGTGCCAGAAAGTGTATTTTCGGTTTTGAAAATCTCCAAAACAAACAGTATTTTAGTCAGTGACATAAAACTCAATTTCAGCACCTTTATGATCTATTTGTGTTGCAAATGCTGTTAAAAAAAATTCTTACGAGAACTAAAAACCCCTATATATTTCATTGTGCTGTCATAGGTCTACTTTATTGCTTATGTAGTTTGGGAAATTTCTGGGATTTTTAAAGAGATTTTCTAAAAGTACATGTACGATGAAGGCTCCTTTGATGAATATAATAAGGTCTTCCTTTTGAATTGACTTATTCCGAGGAACCATGCAACGTGTGTGGAAACTTTGGATTGAACTATGGCTGATGGGTGCAACACCTACCAAGTTAGGTTCCATTTCGGTAGTGAGAAGCATATTGACACAATCATGATCATTTAGTAGTGCTAAAAGCTGGAATGAAACAACAGAGGTAAAGAAATAAACCTCTCCAGTGGCATCCTTTAACCACTGAAATTCAAGACAGGAACACATTTTGTGCTAGGGTGAAAGAGATAAGATGGAGTCCTCGCAGGGCAGACTTGAAATAGTGAAATGGTGTAGGTTTTACATCCCTGTCAACACTGTTAGGACGCCTTCGAGTCCACCTCTGAAAGGACCGAGCCAAGAGGAAAATTTGTGTTAAGTGCCTTTCCCAAGGGCACAACGTTGGACCGAGCTGAGGCTCAAACCCCCGAACCCGCAATCTCACGATTACACATCTGGTAGTCTAAGTCTAACCACTGGGCTACCAATGCCACCAGGGCAGTCTTGATAGAAAGGACTTTGCTTTGAGATGGATAATGCATCAATTTGACGAGAGGCTTTTTAATTAATAAAACTATGGATTTGAGACAAAAGTTTTTAGAGATCATCTGTTTAATTTTTTTGCAATGTTACACTTAACTCCGTTGTAGTGGTCCACTTCTCATCAGCATTTTGGTTTGATTTGAAAAGAAAGTTTTTACACCTCCATTAACACTACAGTGGAGTCTGCTTAATAATCCGAAGTCTGCAGGACTTCTGGATATTCTTTGGTTTAGCTGGGTTTTTCGGTTTAGAGAGGTTGCTCATATACATGTAGAAGAAAAAAAATTGGGGAATTTATTTTCTTTCATTTAACTGCTATTTTTAGATTAAAAGTGTTTGTGGACTCCACAGTACATGACTTGTATTTGTATTTATTATAATTATAATTTAGTTTATTCAGACTAATTTAGAAGGGAGGCTACTCTGTTGACCCTGCCTGTCAGGGCCAAATCCATGCTGTGTGTGATACAGCCCCTGATTATAAAAACGAAGACTCGATGAAATAATCTTTGCCTTGCGAAAATCCAACTTCAGACTATATGCAACAGAGAAAAGCCTGTCCTTTACCCCATAGACCAGCAATGACATCAGTCATTTGAGGATGTAGTGGACACATATGTCTGATCAGCAGCAGACCAAAGGCAAAGTAGCCGCACATTTAGAACCATCAGACACAAATCAGAAACATGAATTTGCTTGTATTTCATAGTGTGTATCCAAGTTGTTGACTGCTTTTTTAAGTTTTAAGATTAAAAAATGAAAACAATTTTTTTAAAAATCTGTTTGAATGATAAAGTTAAGTTATAGTTAGATCTAGTTATAGGCCTATTTTTTATTTCTTTTTTTGTTAAGTCGTACCCCAAAACAGCGTCTCTTCAACTTGTTTTGCCGAATGACCAGACTGCGTGTCCTCAATGAGTTAACCATGGCCAGATCCTCTGAATCCCGAACTTTTTAAAACATTTTTCTCAATTGAATCACCATCCTCTGGCTTAACGAATGTACACCATGAGCTGGTTTTCTGGCCATATATATAGGTTCAAAAAGTAAAAGAAAGATATAAGATAATAAATGTGTTGTTAATGTTAGTCTGCTTCTTACACTTACACTTGATGGGTGTTTCTGTTTTAGTCTTCGTACAGTAAGAATTTCACATTACTAGCAACTCAAATAAAGGTCATGTAAGTGCTGTATATTAGAACTGTTACTAGAGAGTAAAAAAAATAGAAGAAGAAAAAAGGACAACAGATGTTTGATTTATAAGAAATGCGTGAACCATACCACAGCACCTGCCAATCACCCATGTTGTTTCTTGAGTCATGGAATTGTACTTTTTAGCAAGGATGAAAATGAAAGAAAAAAGGTAGATTAGATGGCAGGTGACATCGGGAACAACGTTGGTCATAACTATAGTTGTACATGTAGTATGTAGCTTAGCTGTATAATTAATGCCAGCCTGTGGTCAGAAAAACCTTTCCAAAGTGAATGAAAGTTGTTTTAAAAAAAAGTATAAACGATAACACACATTGCGAAGTGTAGTTTGAGAGCAAGTTGACTAGAGACAGTCTTCTCCACTTTCTATCAATGGTCATATTTTATATGGTCGCTTTTAAGCACAAGGGGGCTATCCCGAAAAATGCTGTTTTGAGAAAATCAAAGTTAAAGTTTTTGGACCCTTCTTCAGTTTCTTTTAAAGACCAGGAGAGTTTTCTCTTTAACCAAAGAAATATACACACCAATGAAACCAAACTTCTACAGGTAGGGCGATGTCCACTTTTGGTGTAGGTCAAGATTTCTGGTAACCCCCGAAATCTGGGTTAGCCCTCTTGTTCTTAAAAGCGACCAAATGTTGTCTTGCACTTGTGAGTCCTAGGCCTAGGATGTACCGGCTACCACAATTTCGTTTTTATTTTTTAGATTTGTTTCTCAAAGCAGTCACAGAAGGCCAACTCTGGCATGTAATATATCAAAAGGTTATCTTTTTCAATCTCACTGCAGTGCGACACATGCCCACTCTTTACTTCACAAATGTAAGCTGGTGCATGATTTGTTGTAAGTATTTCCACATAACAGAGAGGGGTGGCATTATTAATATTTTTTGTCTTCTTCTTCCCTTCGTGAAAGGGTGGATGTTCTTTGAAACTTGCTAGGCATATATTGAAAAAAAAATAGAGATGCAAAGCTGGCTAAAGTGACTGGAGTGTAGCCAGAGAGCGGATAGTCATAAAAATTTAGACAACCAATTTCATTGGCTCAGCACATCCTGATTCCAGCGCTGTACTTTGTACTGACCACAGAATCTCCTCAGATTTGAATGACTCGTTTTTGCCAAAAATGTTGTGAATTCTTAAAATAAAGGACTTTTCTTGGCAGAGTATGGGCTTGTTGCATTTGTCGCATGTAAACTGTTCAACAGTCAACACAGCTGTCAAATTCTTGTAAACAAAAGAATGGTAGATAAATCTACAATTGACTACAGTATCCAAGATTAGCAGGCCAAAATATTACCAACTTTTGCAATGAAGACAAAAGGCAAAAACAAAAGAAAAACCCCAAAAGTCCCATATATCTGTCATCAGTCATTTTAATTAAAACATGTGAAGTATAGATTTTCATGAAAAATGATAAAATGATCACACTTCTTGCACTAGTTCATACTCACGAGCGCACATCACATACTCATACACACACAAAACCTACAAGTGTTCCCCTTTCTTTTGAGTAAAAAGATGAAAAGAACGCACTGACATTTCAAAAAGCATTCTTCACTTTACATCATACAATCCCTATGTAGTTGTCACTGCAGTTGCTCTAAACAAAAGAAAGCAGAGCAGCCATAGTACCATTTCTAATTAGTTGCAAACTAGAAAATACAGTGACAGGCTTACAGGCTTTTTTGTCCACACAGCTGTGGTGATCTAATCCAACGTATGAGCATTCAAAGACTATTTAATATTTTGTACTATTTCCTTACTAATTACAGTGGAAACCATATATAACAGGCCCGCAAATAACAGGGATCCAGTAAACACAGGGATTTTTTAAATTCCCGTTTTTTCCCACTCTTTGTCTCTATTAAAAGTTATCGGTATTAACAGGACCTCATCGGAGCCCAATCGGTTATAGCAGGGACAAATGCTCGTTAACAATGTGTAAAAGGTAAGAGAGAGAGAGTAACGCAGTGATTGAGCAAGCCTACGCAAGCCACGCCACTGCAAGCACACGCAGCGGGTGAAGCTAGAGAGGGCTGCTGTGTGCCGCAGACTTTGATCTAGCCCAAAGCCTAGCTACACGCACGCGTAATGTGTCATGCGCAGGCCTGCCACATGGCCACCAGAGAGGGGTGCTGTGTGCTGTTCGTGGGTACATACGGCAAGGGAAACCACCCATGAATAAATACAGCTGGATTAGTCCACAAATGCTTACTTCCCTTGCATTTCTGTCTCTGGTCCCACCACCCGTTATATCAGGTCTCCACTGTATAGCTTTAGAGAGGGTACGGTACACCTACACACACTGATGGTAAAATATTTCTCTGCCAAAAAAACACAAACCCTTTGCGGCCTTCATTACTGGAACAATGTAGGCCTATGCCCAGGAGGTTGAACTTTTCAAGCACCATGACAGTTAATCATGTTAATGACATGATTTCTCTTTTTGCCTCTATTGATGGGCCAGTAAGTCCCTGTCATGAAAACAAAAGGAAATATCTCTTCATCTCTCAACATGCACACTCTTAAAAACTCAAACAAACAACAAAAAAAACAGTGAGAAAGGTGTCATCGTAAGTGGGCAAAAGCTCTGTTGCTCTCGCATATCCTGTGAATTTCTTGCTTTCTCCGAATTGCTTTGCCCTGTTGATTAAATGGAGGAAGAACACAAGGTCACAAACAGAGCTGTTAAAGTACTTTTTAAAAAGTACTTAAGTACAAATTTAAGTACAATCTAAAAAATATACTTAAGTACAGTAAAAGTACTTTCCTATAAAATGTACTTGAGTACAAGTACTTTTTAAAAAAGTACTTATGAGTACATTTTGAGTACTTTCTGCTAATATGCTAAAACACTTCAGCGCTTATGCAAAACATCATATTTTATAACTTATCCAGTATATTTGACAAATTAGGCTATTTATTACTAAAAATGGAAACAGTATACAAAGCATTTGAATATACAATGTACGCACTGAACGGTGGAAATGGTCCGTGAAGTTGAACAAAAAACAACCCAAACGAACAGACGCAACTAGTGGGTAAGTGATATTATGAATAGAACTTGTTTGAGCAAGACAATATGATCAAATGTAAGTCAGTCCTAGAGGTCGGAAATTTCTACAGAAAGAGTATCCAAATTGAAAAATGTAGATACAAAGTTGCTCTTAAGAAAACATAAAATTGATGAAAATGGCCCGCATAGAAATGGAAAAGTGCATTGAATTTTTCATTAACAAATCCTCAAGGAATCAATGTAGCCTTAAGCAAAAACCACCCAAAAAAAGTTTAAAAGAAATTTAGGCAGCCTAAAAATTGTTAGATACACATTGAGAACACAGTTTCAGTTTCAATTGATTGTAGTAGTCTGACAGATTTTGGTCACACTGTGTAGTCCACGGCGCCCACGGCAAACCAAAATACAATAGTTTCCTAGAGTCTAGTAAGTGTAGTGTAACCAAAGATTCTCTACTGCAGTAGTCTCCGCCTAAGATCCCAGTGCTCGGAAGCAAGGAAAATACGGGATCTTAGCCAACGAAGCCAAGGAAGAATCTACAGTGACCCATGAACTGACGTGACCCCTGGGTGGATTTATGACATATGGCAAGCAAAGAGTGGTCAACCTTGATGACCAATCACAGTGGCATGAGGCATGCCATAAATAATATTATATATACACACTCATTAGCCTATCGTGAGTCTTGAGATCTTTATCTACGTTTATCCAGTTGCCTCTCCCCTTTACCTATCCAATTTTAGCTTTCCATCTCTGATTGAGTCCCCCCCCCCTCCCCAAACCTCCTTTGTCGTTACGCACCATTACGATGTGACCACACTAATTAAAATTCAGATTGTCTCGCAAATTCGGGAAAAACTGCTTTCAATGGTCAGGGAAGAGTTCACAGTTTGATGTGATCCCTCCTGGAGCGAACTTGTAGGCCCTACCCACCCCGGGGAGTGATGTAAGTTTAGGTGGTGAGGTCAGATGCGAGTGCGATGTTTGGGGAAAAGAAACGCATCGGTCAGTTCACACCTTGGTGTGATCCCATCTGGGGCAAACATTGTACTGTTTCATGGAGTTTTACAACGCTTGTGATCACATTCACGATAGTGGCTGATCTTTGTGGCGATGGGCCGTTCTTTGATCTCAACTTTTAACTCTTGGCGGTTGATCGGGTTTTTGTTCCGTAAATTATGATCAGAAATGCCTGCACTTACACTTTCATTTAGCTACCAAAGTACTCAAAATGTACTTAAAAAGTACTCAAAAGTACTTTTATAAAAAGTATCGGAGTAGAGTAAAAGTACTGGTTTAAAAAATGTACTGGAGTACAGTAAAAGTACCGAAAATTGTAACGTAAGTACAAGTACCGGAGTACTTGTACTCCGTTACTACCAGCTCTGGTCACAAATAACGGGGCATTTGATAATGTTAATGGAATCATAAATGAGCAAACGAACCTTATTACATTGTTTAAAAATTATCATTGTTGTGGTGACATTTTTTGGGAGGGGATCCCTGATAGGGGAAACTGTTCTTCAGTCTTCAATGTACGAGATTCGAAGTTTCCCTTAACTAACCAGGACTCCACTGCATTCGCTTAAATGGTATGGTAACATCTCTTGGTACATCTCTGTTTTCCAGAATACGATGGACTTCGGAAGGACTAAAGAATTTGTGAAAACTGAAGCTGGATCATGAGACGACAATACCAATAAGTCGGAGCTTTGACTTTTGCATCATCCACAGTAAGAGTAAATAGGAATAGGAAAACAAAATCAAATAAACGAGACTTTAAAAATCATACAAATAGGACAATTTAAAACATTTAAATTCTTTTTGCCTTTCTTTTAAGTAAAGTTATGAAAAAGCACTCAAAATGAAATAAACCTATGATAACCGGTAATCGCAACAGCTCGGTAATTTTTTTCAAAAAGATCCTTGGAGTGGCTGGTAACATAGTATAGAAATAAGCAGTGCTAAAATAGCTGGAATTGAATACGTGAAAAGAAGAGGATGTTTTATGTATTAACCCTCATCCTGCGGGAGCCGGGTTTATGTAGCCCGATAAGCCTATTTCGGCACCTCGCCTGCGTTCTGGTCCATAATCAGTGTAGCCCCTGGCTCAGCGCACGCGCAGCGCGCATCCTCTTACGTGTCATTCGCGTCCCGAGTCGGATCCCCATTCACGCATGTCAAGTGTGTGTGCGTCAGTCTGCTTGAGTTTGTGTGTGTTTGAGGCCTCCTAGAACCGCCTGCGTTGGTTCGTAATCGAGACATACGTCTCATTCAAAACATGCCAAGTTGGTAGCTCTAGATGTTCGTCCAAAGAAATTATAGAAAA